CACACACACACACACACACACACACACACACACACACACACACACACACACAAGTTTCCATGCCTTTGTTCTTATAAATGTTAGACTTCGGTTTGGTTACAGCACAGCTGTGTTTTGAGGTGTGGTGAATCTTTCATAAAAGTCTGTGAAGTACCAGAGCTGGGTGATAAAGGGAGCAGCAGTGCAGTGCAAGCCCTCAATGAATTCACCTGGGAAGCAACTAAATCTCACTCTCATAAACCGTGTTTTCGTGGCATTATTGCAGGTGGTTTACATTCCTCAGTCGTAAGTTATTTTTGTCTATTTTGTGATTTACAGATTCTGAAAGCAAAACACTGCCTAAATTGAGCACAAAACTCACAAAGCACATTGTCCAGATACAGCAGGCAGCTGCACTGTAATTAAAATGTGCCCTGTGCCAAAAAGAAAGAAAAGAAAACAACAAACAAACAAACAAAAAAAAGAGTTGATCATATTTCATTTTCTGCACACGAGAAAAAGAAATGTTCACTCTGATTCTGACCACATTCCACATTTTGTAATCCAACAGATGTAAATAAGTTAAACAATAAAAAATACAGTTCTCTGGTCATGCAGGCTCTTGCTTATTTCTTGAAAATCATGGTTATGGCACCACCATCAGGTGAAATCAAGTGTATGTGATGTACATTGTTTTAAGGTTGTTTATTTACTTGTCAAACAGTTGTCAAAAGTTTTAGAGTCTTGGTGGAAACCAGACTGTTTGCACTGAATTTAATACACTAATTAAATACACAAGTAATGTTCGAGTTCCTCTTTCCAGCACTACAGCCACTATTTGTTTTTAACTTGAGAAAACTCTTGATTGTTGTTTGTTTTGTTAATACTAGACTTATATTTCAGAAACAGTTGTTATAATTTATTGAGACTTTGGATTTTAATTGTCGAATAGCAAATAACAACCAATTTATGTTTCTCACCAGCTTGCAGTGACATCTAGCCATGCAGATAGTTTTTCCTGAATCTTTTTTAGACTTTGACTCTGTCTCCGAGACTCCAAGATGATCAAAACTCAGTACAAAGCAAATTTGCAGTATGCACTGAAGCAGGCAACATATGTTTATATGGAGTGATTTGCTTGATATTCCATGAGTATGCACCCATGAGACTGCTTTACGATGAAAGACAAAAACAAAAAAACCCCCGAAAAAGTGAACAAAAGTGTGTTTAACAGTTTTTTTCAAGAGTTCAAAATCCAGAAAAGTGTGACTACAGCAGGTGAAAAGGTGTTTGGATCGGGTGAATTAAAAGCAGTGAATCAGACAATGTAACAAGACTAACTAAATCCCATCTATTCTGTGCCTGAGTTTAATTTTACTTACATTACAATAAAGGAAATTTCAGAAACACTATTTAAAATATTGATGAAAAAAGAGAATACTTAAATATCAAATTGAAGTAACTGCACTTAGAAAGAAAATCTATGAGCAGTAAGGAGTCTGACCTCAGGAGTTGACGGCTGAATGAAAACAAGGACCATCTGTACAGTGTCTCATTAAATGTGCAAGACCCCATCCTAATGGTGGGACCGGATGGGTACCTAGCTGCTTCCCTCACAGCAGCTTGCAGGTGGCAGAGCATCGAAGTCTGAATGGCATTCTTTACTCTGTTTGCCTTCTAAGTAGTCTTAAGGGTGGAGCGGAGCCTGGGAAGAACTGAAAGGGAATTAAGGATGAAGGCAGATGGTGTGAGATCTTGTAGGGCAAGTAGAAGTATGAAAGGTAATAAAAGGGAAAAGGCAGGAAGAGAAAAAGAGAGAAGGAGGTGCTGGAAAAAGGTGGAGACTACGAGGAAAGAGGAATGGAGAGAGGAGGTCCTCAGTTCAGTTGTGAAGGCACTTCAGTCCTCTTTTTTTGATAGGGCAGGGAGATGTTTTAATGTCTCCACACATTTTTAAAGTAAAGGAGACAAGCTGTTTAGGACAATGGATGCCCTATCATAACTTCCCTTCAGCAGAAGGTGAGTGCATTTCTTTCATCTTTTTCTTTGTCTTTAATTGCAGATTTATAGTGAAAACTTTGCTTTGAGGTCACATTTCAATGTTTTAGTTATAAATGTGATGATTTATTTACTGCCGGAAAGTGGATGAAAGCTTTATGTGAAACAGATGAAAGACTTTAATAGGAGCATTAAGAGAGAGAGATTAAAGGCATGACTGTAATACTGATTTTAAATGGAAGTGAGATAGTAAACTTTTTAACTTGTAATTACTTATATTAATTATACACAGTTTCTAAAGGTCAACATATTATGATCTCATACCTACATGTATGTTAACACATAGCGCCTGGATGGACGTGCAAACATAAGTGTCTTTCATAAAATCAGCTTCTACCTGAGTTATAAAGAGCCGACTGTGCTGTGAATAAACTGATTATGGCAGCACACACACACACACACACACGCACACAGACACACACACAGGGTGGAGAGAAACACAGAGAAATGCTTGTTTCTGTCACTTCCCTCTTTCGGGGGTTGTGGCAGTCAGGTCAGAGTATTTCTCTTTCTGTGCGTTTTACAGCAACCAAACTAAATCTAACCAGCAGTCCAACAGCAATGAAACGAGGCCACGTGCTGTGGACTAGTTACAAAAACTCGCACTGAAGATAAAAGCATCAAGGTTTTCCTTCATGATTTTATCTTAGTTTCTTTTGGTGCTTTTTCTTTTTTTCTTTTTTTATTTATCGACTTGTTTTTTGTCTACTTTATCTGCTGCTGGCACAGGTTTGTCCAGAGGCACACAATCTGCCTCCTTAGATCTGTGTTTGCTTTGATGTTTTACACATACAGATTTTCTTTATACCTCTAACCAACTCTAAATGGTAAATGGTAAATGGTAAATGGCCTGTATTTATATAGCGCTTTACTAGTCCCTAAGGACCCCAAAGCGCTTTACATATCCAGTCATCCACCCATTCACACACTGGTGATAGCAAGCTACATTGTAGCCACAGCCACCCTGGGGCGCACTGATAGAGGCGAGGCTGCCGGACACTGGCGCCACCGGGCCCTCTGACCACCACCAGTAGGCAACGGGTGAAGTGCCTTTTTTCCTCCGACCTGGCAGCTCCGTCTTCAACATCCATTATCCAACATATCCCCTTTTCCTCCTCTGTACATATCCAGTCCATCTCAGCCTTGCTTCTCTAACTTCGCCTCCAAAACGCTCAACCTGAGCTGATCCTCTGATATGCTCATTTGTAATCCTGTCGATCCTGATCACTCCCAGTAAAAATCCTATCATTTTCAACTTTGCCATCTCTAGGTCTACCTCCTGTTACTCTAAATAGCCTAAGTGATTGAGAACAACAACTTAAAGTGGTATATTTTTCATTGTAGTGATTTTCAGCACTTCAAGACAAACAGATTTGTTGAAAACAAATGACCATCCAAACCACATGCCAAGATGCTATCTGAGGATATGAAAGAAGGGGACATCACAAGAAAAGCGGAGGACTAAAAGCCACATGTTTTAATTTATCTTTAGGAACAATGGGTCACTTGTCTTTTCCTAGATGCATCTTTAGCCTTAAGTGTTTAGGATTTCCTTAAAAGACAATCCACCATGTTCAAACGGTGGCTGATGGCCCTGGTGGCCCGTGTTGGCCTCATTGTGCTGACCCTCTGCTGTTGCGTGCTGCTGCTGTATCTCCTGGCCTGCAAACCTGTATCTCACAGCAGCCAGCAGTCTTTGCCATGGGCTGGAAGTGCCACCAGTAAGGAGAGGTACATGGCTTTACTGCAGGAGAGGGAAGACTCTCACAGACATTATATCAACAGCCTGACAAAGCAAATAGCCCAGCTGAAGGAAGCTCTGCAGGAGAGGACGCAGCAGCTTCAGGAGTCCCTGGATAAAGCTAAAATCAAAGGGATCCTACCTCAGGGTTTGGAGAGCCTGCACAAAACCCCAACGCAGTCTGATCTGAAGGTAGGACAAGAAAATAAATACATTTTGTGTGACATTATAGCTGTAGTAGTAAATGCTACATGATGTCCTCCAGGAGTTCTTCCGCTCCCAACTGAACCAGGCAGAGGTGAACTCAGGTGTGAAGCTGCCCAGCGAATATGCACTAATTCCTTTTGACACTTTCACCCTGCAGAGGTAAGTGGGACAGCGGCGCAGTAGGAGCCCCCCAGGAGCGCTGTGTAGCACTTAAATTTTACCTTATGTTGGCTGTTAAGTGGTTGTTTTTTCATCCAGCGTGTACCAGCTGGAAACAGGGCTGACCAGGCATCCAGCGGAGAGGCCTGTGAGAAAAGACCGCAGAGATGAGCTGATAGGGACTGTGGAAACAGCTCTGCATGTCCTGAATGGACCCAAGCATCACACTGACAACATCAGGAGAAAACACACATTCTCCCCTTCAGACTTTATCCAAGGTGAAAAAGACCTCAGGTTATTCATTCATGTTGTACACACAGATTCATACACTGCATTAATTTGTTTGCAGAGAGCTAAGAAATTGTAGGAAACTAGTGGCCCAATAAAACAGAATGCATATCATGATGCTTTCTTCTCCATCGCAGGGCTGACTCGCACAGAGCGGGACAGAGGAAGCATTTACGAGCTGATGTTTAAAGGTGACAGTCCACAGGACTTCACGCAGCTTGTACTCTTCAGGCCTTTTGGCCCCGTGATGAAAGTGAAGAGCGAAATTGTGAACACGCAAAACATCATCATCAACATCATCGTACCTCTGTCCAAGAGGGTGGACACATTCAAACAATTCATCAAAAACTTCAGGTAACATTTAGAAGTAAATTAACAAACAGGCACCCAGTAAACATACTCCACATGGGGCCACAGTGGAAAGACCCCAGTACTGCTCGGAAATGTGGTGAGGAGTTGCTCCACATTTCATGCTGGCTCCAGGGCCACAGTGGGCTTGGCCATAGAAAACCTATATAAGGGCCCCAAAGGGCAAAACTGCTGTGGGGCTTGTGTTTAGACACCAACTTGGGGTCCACGTGGAATAAGTGTGGGTTTGCCCTGGCCTCACAGCCCCACAGCTACCCACAGTGGGGAGATTTTTGCTGTACATCTGATCCCAGCACAGACATCTGGAGATACATCTGGAAACCAATAAAACTCATTGCCTCTTAGTAAGGAGACAATGCACAGATTTAAAGACGGCCCTAATTTTAAAAAAGGTCATTTTCAGCTCAGTTTCATTGAAATTTTCCCACATTTGTTCATATGTCTGTTTCATTTAGAGAGGTATGCATCCAGCAGGACGGCAGGGTTCATCTCACCGTGGTCTACTTTGGTCGAGATCAGATAGACGAGGTAAAAGCTGTGCTGGACCAGACCACTAGGTATGTACAAAACCATTTCATAGTTCAGTCATCATCTAATTTCTAATATCTCATCTCTAATACTGATCGCTTGCAGATTAGTCCAGAGTTGTCTATAACACTTAAATTTGCAGGAGTTGGAGATTTTTGCATCAATCAGTTATAATGAAATTGTGACGAGACTCTACAGATCTATGACTCTCATGATAATGTGCACTTGCAAGAAAAATATTAAACTCCCGTTGTCTCTTCAGTCTTAAGAAATGTGTCTGTGCTCGGGCACGAGTGTTTAACGGCTGCAGGCAAACAAAAATAAGTCCTGTGAGGCTTCTGCACCTCCAGGGATACACACATGCTGTGGCTGTGCAGGCTATTGTGGTGTTATCATCACAGCTTGTACATATATATCTGCAGGCTGCAGAAATATTAAGACTAATCAAACATCCACGAAAGTCCTCCTGTTTTCTTTTTCCGTCTTTCCCCTCAGAGAGACTCGGTTCAGGAGCTTCACGTTGATCCAGCTGAATGAGGAGTTTTCTCGCGGCCGGGGCTTAGACGTGGGTGCCAGGGCTTGGAGGCGCAGCCAGAACATTCTGCTCTTCTTCTGTGATGTTGACATTCACTTTACAGCTGATTTCTTAACTTCCTGTCGTCTCAATGCAGAACCTGGTGAGAGTCCCGACCCCCCAAGTGGTTCCTGCAATCATGAATAAAATAGCTTAATGAGAAACTACAGCTGATGGAGCAGATAAAATCAGTTCCGTGGGTGTTATTAAATATTGTGGTTGATTAGATCTCAGGCTGAAGGTGAGCGCTTTCCTTTGAGCTGGTCTGTAAAGTCATCGACATGCAATATAAACTGTTAAACATTTTCAAGGACAGAGTAGTAAGTTCTCATATAAGGTAAACCACAGGTTCTACTTACAATGGTTACACTGATTTTTATGCAAACGGGAAGACCTGTCACCCGACAGTCACCTTGAAATGCCTCGGGGCACTTATTTAGCTCCACTTAGAAAACTGCATGTATAGAATCACAAGTCCAATCTGGTAAAAGGTTTACTGACCCAATTAATATTTAAAAATGAATTTCCCCTTGAAACTTAACACTTCTTTGACTATCTTTGTGGTTTCAAAATTACCCCACAGTTCAGTAAGGAGAGATCCCTTTTGCAGAAGTGAACATGATCTACTAAGATAGAGAAATTAATTAAAGTATTTGGTGATTAGACTTAGATGACCCATCATCTAAGAATCAGGTCTCTCACATCATCTCACAGAATCCCAGCAGTGCTAGGATTTAGCACAGGTGGTGAAAATTAAGACTGAGGCTTGAATGGAGCTCTGACTGAGGTGTCTGTGAGGTGGAGATGGGGAGGAGGTGGGTTGCATGAGAGTCTGGCGGGGATGATAGCAGCGAGCAGAGATTTAAGCCACGGAGAGTAGAGGCTGATCGACTCAAAGAAGATGAACAAGAAGATGACTGGACTGGAGTAATGAGTAATGATGTCAGTATTGAGCCTGACAGTGTGGGAAAGTGGTAGTGATGTAAAGACACAGGGACACGGGGCCTAACGCCCAGGAAAGCCAGCAGATGAGTGATTACAGATCCTCCTTATTGAACTTATGCATGAGCTTCATTTTTAGTCTTACTGGGACACTTTTTGCCACTGTTAGCAAATTTCTGTTCACCTAGGTTTTTGGGTGGTCTCCAAAAAGCTTACCTGCGCCATGTGACACTTAAATAATTTGCTCTGTTGAGCAGGTAGAAAGAATATCTTGCATTTTTGGATAGAATATAGGTAGATTATTGTGGCTGAATCCAAAAAAATAAACTGCCACTGTACTGTGTCCGCCAACAACATTAAATTCTAATTTCTATCAGTATCTTTAACACCTCGTGGTGTGTGATTATTAGCTGATGGAGATTCAGTGTCACATCTGCTCTTGCTGCTATGCAACGAGCAGCACGGTCCTGGCCACATAAATTATGGCCCAGCTCCACTGAACAGGCATCTGCCAGAGCTAGCATGCTACAGGTGTCTGCACTGTCTGTTCTGAAAAATCACATGGGCACAGCTATCAAACAAGAAGAGGCAATAAACAGGTTAAGGTAAATAGGTTTGAAATTTTAAAAAATGGTAAATGGCCTGTATTTGTATAGCGCTTTACTAGTCCCTAAGGACCCCAAAGAGCTTTACACATTCAGTCATCCACCCATTCACACACTGGTGATGGTAAGCTACAGTACATTGTAGCCACAGCCACCCTAGGGCGCACTGATAGAGGCGAGGCTACCGGACACTGGCGCCACCGGGCCCTCTGACCACCACCAGTAGGCAACGGGTGAAGTGTCTTGCCCAAGGACACAACGACAGAGACTGTCCAAGCCGGGGCTCGAACCGGCAACCTTCCGATTACAAGGCGAACTCCCAACTCTTGAGCCACGATCACCCCATATCTAAAGTTTTTTAGATAAAAAAAAATTTTGTTCATCGATTTGGCTAATAAGGACAAGATTTACAAACGTTGACCTTTGGAGATTCATAAGCTCTGCTGGCAAAATTTCATTTTTTTTATCCACCGTGTAACTAACAGTCAGCTTATACGGGTGTTAACTTTTAGTAAATAAATGATTGATGAATAGTCATTACTGTCATTTTGGGGGTGGTAACAGAACTCGTGTCTGCTTTGAGAAATATGAAACTTTTTAGATTTTGTCTCAGTCTTTGTGGCATTTCTGATATTTCTGGAAGTTTGTTAGCAGTCTCTTATTATAGCACTGAAGTGTGATTCTCTGGAAATTGTGTTCTTTCATTTCTTTGTTCAGGCTTGCTGGTTATCGCTTCCCATACCAACCACACAGTTCTATTCTTTTCACTCCAATGAAACCCTCTGTTGCTGCCAGTAAAGAAAAATCCATCTCTCCCCTCACTGCCAAAGTTTTTTTTTTTACAGCAAAAAACCGAGAGTGAGAGAGACCCACCGGTCACCAAGTGTTAAAAATAGAAAATGTGCATGCTACAGCTTGAATCATTAGGTGAAATATTAAAATCATTGTTTTATTAGTGTTTTACACTTCCTGTTTTTTGTTTGTAACATGTTTGGTGATGGATGGTAAAAGGCTGCACAATCAGATTACTAAGAAATATTCTATTCTTTGTAATATTACTATTACTACTCTATTACAATTATTAAAGCAGATCACATTTAGAAAAGCTTGTTATATAATTAGGATTACTTAATTATCTCTTTACAGATGGTCAGTTTTAAGATTATGAGCTGCTTCAAGAAAAACCATCTTCTTGAACTTTGTTGTGGGGGTTTATTTATTTCCATACAGAGTGCAGGAAATTCATTGTTTGAGTTCAAGGTAATATTTATATGAGATTATTTAAATTAGATTACATACTTTTGTTATACTCTATGCTATATAAAATGCACATTAAATGACTGTAAATGTTTTAAAGTAACCTGTCACAGGATTCAGTGTGTCTGTTTAAACTGTTCTTGTAGGTAAGAGAGTGTACTACCCAGTGCTCTTCAGCCAGTACAACCCATCTATCATCTACAGAAATCAGACGCTCTTGCCTTCACTTCAGCAGCAGCTGGTAGGTTAATACAACACACAAACAGCTCAGTTACAGCAAATGTCATCCAGAGGTGATTTCTGGCTGCTCCTCTTCCCTCAGGTGATAAGGAAGGAGAGTGGATTCTGGCGTGACTTTGGGTTCGGCATGACATGCCAGTACAGGTCTGATTTCATCAACATAGGTAAAGACAGATATATTAATTTCATGTGAAGGAACACAATAAAGTTAAATGTTACTGCTCAACTAAAAATAAGCCTTTTAAA